GTTATAAGGACGATGTCATCAGCAAAGCGAAGTTGGTGTAACTGCCGACCCTCGATTTTGACTCCCATATTATATTAACTATTCCAATGTTCGCATGACGTCCTGAAGGGTGGCGGTAAATAATTTTAGCGGGATGGTATCACCTTGCCTAATTCCTTTTTTGACGTCAATGTTAATATCGTTGTAGAATGGTGATACCTTAGTTGTGAAATTTTTGTACAGTTCACGAAGAATCTTTATGTACTGACTAGGGACTCCTTGACTATCAAGAGCTTCCATGACTGCTTCTATCTCAACTAAAACAAAGGCCTTCTGTAAATCGATGAAAGTGAGACAGAGCGGTCTTTTGTACTCCCGCGATACTTGAATGAGCCGTGTTACCGTGTGGATGTGGTCCATCGCACTAAATCCTTTTCGAAACCCTGTTTGCTCGCATGGCTGTCCTTCGTCTAGTGTTCTGTCAATCCTGTTTAGGACGAATCGAGTGAAAAGTTTGTAGACGACTGATAGCAAGCAGATTGGGCGATAGTTGCCAATATTGTGTAGGCCACTCTTCTTAAACAATAACACGCTCTTGCTGGTCTTCCACTGAGGAGGGACCTTGCATTCAGGCAGGTAACGTGTGAAGAGCCGAGCCAGTGTGTTTACGAGGACTGGTGGAAGGTTCTTCGGGTGTTCTGGCCTTATCCTCTCCGGACCTGGTGCTGTTCGATTTTTCACCGACGAAATGGCGTGTCGAATTTCGGAAGGGATAAGCGGTGGTACGACATATCCATCCTGCTTTATTTCATATAACGGAAGGTAGACGTGGCTATCGGAGAGATCTGAGCAGTATTCCTGGATGATCTTCTCCATTGCCTTTCTGGACGCTGTAACTGTTCCGTCTGGGCGTCGGATTGCAATCATCTTGGTCTTGTAATTGGAGAAGCTTCGGTGGCCTTTGTGAATGCTTTTCCCAGCCTCTGCGGCTTTGACCATTACTGCTGCTCTTCTCTCTCTAAACTCTTCTTTTATCGCCTGTCTGCATTGTTTTGCAAGTTCAGACCTTGGTTCACGTTTGCCTGCAGCTCGTGCGATTCCACTCAGGCGTATCAGCTCGAGTATTTCTGGAGACAAGCGTCTCTTGGTGACTTTCAAACTCTCAGCTTTCATAGCGCTAACGTGAAGATGTCGAATGAGCCGATCGTATTCTTCGTCGATGTTATCGAAAACGACATCTTTCCAACAGCCGACCAGTGGACTGAATAACTCCCAGTTTATGATGGTGTTGGGACTTCGACTTTTGAATTTAGCGGCTTTCTCTCCTTTCTGCGAGAAATGAAATCTTGCACGAAGGACACGTTGGTCTGATTCCGCGTAGAATTTTGGGACAACAGCGATATCGGTTAGGCAAAATCTTCTATTTACTATGATGTGGTCTAGTTCGCCAAGGTGCCTCCATTGTAAGACTCCCTCGTCCACCGTTGAGGGTGGACTTCTGCAATTGGGAGTTACCATGAATGATCTTGGTCGTTGCGATAAACTGAAAAAGTCGCTCACCTCACTCGGCCATTCTATCGTGCCAGCACGTTGATTAAACTCACTTTGTTATAAACAGAGATCATTGTTGCGTGCTCTTAGGTGTTAAGCGCTTGATAATTCGTTGTTACGAAAGAGACGAATAAGTTTAAAAAAGAAGTAAGAACCTTACGTTTCGTGGTACAGGCAACGAAAGACAAACGGTAGACCACTCTGCGTGCGTATAAAAGAACACCTAGTCGGCAAACGTAAACCAAATACTCCACTAGGCACGCATAGAACGCAGAGACATAACGAGGACGACTTCGAAGTATGTGTCACGATCCTCGCGCATGAATCGAGAACACAAGCGCGCGAAGCTCTGGAGGCATTCTGGATTAATTCTAAGAAAGCGAAAATGAACCGCAGGGAGGAATACATCATTATCAAGCGTGATATTGGGTCGTATATAAGCTTGTTATTCTGATGAGATGGGCACAATGCGGTTCCATGTGAACTCTGTGCGGTTGGTCTTCACGGAACATATTTAGTGGAAGACTCATGGAAAGCTGTGACTGTGCAAGCTCTGTGTTCTATGTGATTGAAATTTTGGTTCAGCACTTTCTCTGCTTGGTTATCGAGGTACTTGGCCGTGTAGATTGTAGTCAACCTAACCTTTCCAGGCTCTGAGGAAGGCGAAATCCACCGAAACATCAGCTTGTACGTAAATAAAAAAATAAAGCAACACATCTTGTTTGCTGAACAAAATTAGAAAAAATTATTCAATCAGTGCCGAGGTTAATAGGAAATCGGACTTGGGAGTTACAAACGGTTGATATCTTATATTTCGAAACCAACTTTCCTTGAACCTCGGTATCACTAATCAATATGTATTCTTTCTTTGTTGAGCTTACACGAGGTTGATAATGGTATTTATTTTCGGCTAACGTTTCGACGTCTTCATCTTCCTCAGAGCCGATGGTCCGAGTCGATGTTTCACGCTTATTATTCGTTTCGACCTGGCAGCTTCGCCTTCGTGTCGAGTCAGGTCTTCCTCAGTGAGGCATCTCCTCGAATGAGGCATCCTTACTCAGTGGTGCCCTTTTATGCAGGTTGCAAAGACATCTAGTTAGTGAGACATCTTTGTTTCAATTTTTTCTCTAGCTTTCTTGATTATCAAAGATTTTTATCAGTTGCGAGATAATTTTGCGAAAGGTTCTCCTAATTTTGTCGTTGCTGGAGTCCTCTCCCAAGCATTAAACTGAGTTAGAAATTCAAGAACTAAGGTGTTCTTTTAACAATATCCGACATTTCGCATCGTGTTGACTCTAGAACCTCATGTATTTAAACGTTTTCTCGCATTCATCATCAACGGACGCTTCTGAACATTCTGCGCGTGGGTTTCTCTGCTTATTCCCGTTTTTTTAAAATCTTGTCATGGTATGCTAATCGTGTCGAGTCTGTTTCGAATCCTGGGTTTGCTGTTCTAGCACGTTCCTCACGGATCATCGCATGCTTATACGAATTAAAGAAAACTCTCTAGTCCTAAATAAGTGCGGTGCTAAAATTGAACCCTTTGGAGTATGAGGGATTTGGCTGCGTTGTTGTGAGATCAAACCAGGGCCTTGCGCGTATTGAGCGTCATCTCGCTACTGCGCTGAGCGTGACCCGAACTAGTGTGCAAATATACTGGTTTCTCTCTCCTTTAAAATGGGTCGTGTGCAGCGCAGTTGTTAGATGCGCTCTGTAACACACACATAGCTAGCATCGATTCCACGCACAAGGCGGCCCCAAGTTTTCCATCCCTCCGGGATCGGCAGATTTGTACCAGACTTTCAGATTCGGGAAGTTGCGACCCCTCTACGTGAGAGACTTTAGGCGGCTTACCGATGAATCAATGAATCAATTGTACTTAGTGAAAGTGAAAATCTAGCAAGTGGTTGTCGATGAATATTGTCAGTAGCCGGCCAACAGTTTCCTTCCTAAAGCTTATCGCACTTGTGAAAATCCATATCACATCATATAATAAAAAGGATAACGCTCTCGGCGTTGATCAATCCCTAAGATTTCAAAACCGACCTTCCCTAAACCTTGGTGTGACTAATCAATATGTATTCTTTCTTGATAAGCTTGCACGAGGTTGATAAATATATTTATTTTCGGCTAACGTTTCGACGTCTTCGTCTTCCTCAGAGCTGGTGATCCGAGTCGATGGTCCATGCTTGTTGTTCGCCTCGACGTTGCGTCTTCGCCTCCGTGTCGAGCCAGATCTTCCTCAGTGAGCCATCTTCTCGAATGAGGCATCCTCAGTGATGCCCTTTTATACACGATGCTGATGGTGGAAATATAATGACAATGTCCGGTGGTAACAACTTGTATTTCTTCCGGACATTCATCATTGCGCACATCGTGCAGAGGTCGGTGTATTATTAGCTAGCACAAAGCGTAGTAATATTTCGAAACCGACCCATTCGAGAAGATGGCTCACTGAGGAAGATCTGGCTCGACACGAAGGCGAAGACGCAACGTCGAGGCGAACAACAAGCATGGACCATCGACTCGGATCACCGGCTCTGAGGAAGACGAAGACGTCGAAATGTTAGCCGAAAATAAATATATTTATCAACCTCGTGCAAGCTTATCAAGAAAGAATACAATCCCTAAGAGATTCGCCATACATTCGACTTCATTAAGCATTGTTTTGAGGTGATTGAATGCATTTCTGGCTTTTACAATGACTCGCGCTGGCCTACCGATCTATCGAGCCAGTGCTGCTACCCTCCAAAACAAGTCTAGTACCAAATTGCTGAACCAGGTGGGATTGAGGGCTTGGTGAGCCTGAAATGCGGGACCGACCCCATGTGTATTGTAGAGAGCCCTTAACCGCTGCGCCACACGCGCCCTTTACATCATTTCATGTATGATAATATTCCATATATTTTTGTTGTGCTCAATAACTATTGTATAAAGTAAATATGTCATCAAGACAAATGATTGAAGTAAATGCTATCATTGTATTGATTCCACTCTATGCAAGTATGAAGCCTTCTATAGAGTAGCGGTTAGACTGTAATCCACACGTGGTCTATTATTCAATCTCGCGCTCTGGTAGGCTAGCCTTGCCGAATATGGATTTTGTGTCGTTTTCTCGTTCAGCAATCGCGAGGTTTTTAAACAGCATACATTTACTTCCATAGAAAAACACAATACAATACAACAGTAGCTGACGTTTCGGCAGTATCGCCTTCTTCAGAGCCGCTTTTTCGTGACTTCCAATGAGGAAGTTTAGAACAGCTGATTATAGTCGCATGTGGTTGACGACTCATGGATTTTAATTATCGCGACAATTTTGCCTGACAACTTTTCAATATCTTGTTAATGTACCTTTCTTGTTAACAATGCAACATAGCAAACTATTCTCTTTCTTTACCTCAAATTCACAGAAAGAAACAGAAATGTCTAAAATCACTTTTCTAAAAAGTTCAACTCCATCTTGAGACACTTTACAGAGACAAAGCGCGAACGATTTCAGCGGCCATTACATCACTGTTCTCCGACGAAAGAATGTTGAAGTGAGTTCCAGCGATTTTCCTTGTAGAGGTGGGATGCACGCTATAAAATTGAGTTCTCATTTTTGAAATCTAATAACCACATAATCATATTAACAACGACCACAATAAACAATAACAATGCTGAGATATTCGCAATGCTTTGACCCTGAGCCAGATTGAACCACGATTTTCTTTTTCGGGGCTGGCGTGTTACATACTGCGCTACGGAGTCCCTTGCTTGGCGTTTCTCTCAGCTGGTTTTCTATCTAATTCTATCTAATAATCACAATATTGACAATAGTGCGGCATGAAAGAAAGTTCGTAGAGATACGAGAGCTAATCAGGACGCCGTGAAATTTGATAGTGAGAAAGTTGACATTCCAACGCAGTCAAGAGCACCAGTTATATTGATAATGGTTCAGACCTGACCTACGTGATAATGCACCATCGAGATGAGCGACTACATCGGAGACACCATTTTGTTATGATTCTCCGAGAAGTCACATTTAATCGCTAACAGGTATTGAATACAACAAATAGAAAGAAAAAGATTTATGAGGCTCAGAAACTTTGATCCTTGTAAATCCTTATCCTTCAAGCTTAACTTACAAGTTTTTCAGGAAGATTATCCTGTTGCGCCTATCAAGGAGATTTGATGAAGTCCAACCAATTGACCAAGAAAGGGATTTTGCTACGTGGATGACGTCCAAACCGTGTCCAGGGTCATATATTTTGTCCAGAATACCAGCTGCCCCTCTCCTAACCATTATCGATTACGAAAAATCGTTTGACAGCGTTGAAACGAATGCAATCTTGTCAGCGCTCGTCGACTAAGATGTGGATCCGTCTTACATGAGAGCTCTATCTGACTGTGATCAGAACGGGAGCACAAATACACAGCTTTTTCCTCCACGCCTCACCACACCCATAGAAAAAGATTTTTGACAAGGCGACACTACATCTCCAAAGTTGTGTACTACCGCATTGAAGTAGGTGATCTCACTCGATTATGACGAAAAGAGTATACGTACTGATGAAAAATTCCTATCAAATCTTCATTTACCCAAGATATCATCTTTTTTAGAAATACTAAAAAAGCACAGAGACGAATATCAATGAGCTCACGCAACATCTAGCCGGAATGCAAAGTTCTGATCTTCGAAGTCTATCCCATCTTTGAGATGTAGAACAACACACATCGATAGCGAAACAAAGGTGTCTCGGTCGTGCAATGAAAACAGACGAAAAAAATAATAGAGTGAACTCCACAAGGATACAGGCTTCCTCTAGGACGAGTACCTACAAATTTGGTGGAAGGACTTGGAATTTGGTGGACTCTTAACTAAAATCAATCAGTTGTGCTTAGGGCCTCCGGTGTTTTAAAATCACGATGTGAGAGTCTTGTCTGCCACTTCGCTTGAATTAAACAACCAACATGGGCGACGAAGGTGAAGCAAAACGAATAGAAATGTGCTGGAATCCGCACAATCCGAAGCCGGCAGTCCAACTATCCCATTAAGTAAAGATTGTAGCGGGCTGACGCATGTTTGTTTAAAGTTGCAAGGCCAAATTAATTTTTCTTCGTGTGATCCATATATGGGTCACGCCGACTAGACGCTCATAGGTTCAGCTGCCCGATATCCAGGTTATTATGCTTTAGGTCTAGCTGGTCGCCTTAAATCGTACAGCTTATTTCTCTCCTGCCAGCATTTATTGTTGTAATTTGCACACGCAACCCACTCTTGAAGGTTTTCCTCAACTCTGCCGTCACGATGTTGCGAACCTATACAGTTTCCAACTTGTCCTCTGTTCAGGCGGTTGCTCATCTGGTTGTTTTCCAATAAACAGACACCCTCTGTCGACCAGATATTACGTGTTCCTACATTTCACTTGTTTTAATCGCAGATTATTGGCATTCTTACGTCAAGTATGACACATTATCAGCCAAACCACCGTATTTTTAGCATTTAGACCGCAAATTTAGTAATTAATAAGTAAGAAAAAACATTTATAAAAGGAAACCTGCTCCATCCGAGATCAGTGCCATCGACAGAGAACACCGTGAGTGTCCGCAGATTAGGTGACGGAGACAGTTTGTAGCCCTTGAGCATTTGTAGTAGGTCCCAGGAATTCACAACCATCCAGAATCTCGTTTCATCGTCAAGCTCATGATTCAAAAGCGCCTCATTGATGCTCTAAAGATCATTTATTCAAAAAGATAAGATCATCTGGAAATGGTCAATGATTTCAATCATGCTTTATTTCAATTTGTGCTATCTAATAAAGTTCTTCTAAAACACTGTGGAAAGAAGTGTCCGTTATATGCAAAGGTCACGTGTTTACTTAGTGACCACTACTTACGTTTTCCTCGCCTACCAAATAAAGTTATTCCATAAAAAAAGCTCTCAGCCTTGATCACTCTCTGAGGGATACGTCATGCATTCGACTTCATTAAACACCGTTTGGAAGTGATTGAATGCATATCTGGCCTTTACAATGACTCACGATGGCCTACCGATGTATCGAGCCAATGCTGCTATCTTCCCAGACAAGTATGGCAGTATGGCGCCAATTTGCCAACCTCGGAGGCATTTGCCTAAGCGTAAACAAAGTTACTTCATTGATAGTTAAATGGTCCTCACAACGGTACCAGCTGCAGTACAAAAGACAGGTTAGCCCAGGCCAATACAGGTTTTTTTCGCATCCTGATTGGTAGATTGTTTCGTTTTATTGTCTACGGCATCTTTAGATCTCTACTCCACTTCACGTGTTCACCTTACACAGAGGTAAAAGAAAAAAAAACAAAAAGAACTAGAAGCGAAAGCAGGTATTCATTTTTTAAAGCATTATGCGATAATGTGAAGTTGAGAATATTGTTCTAAGAACGCAACTACGCCAGAAGCCAGAAAGAAGGCACTGTTCTCTTCCTGGAGGAAATCTATTTACTAAGTGGCAAACGCCTTGCATCAAAGCCACACATATTAATAGCTATAGGTAGCGATAACCTCGAGATGTTGGAAACATCGTGCTGGAGAATTAACGGAAAAATAATCTACATAATTAGCAACACGGAAATTAAACAGAAAACCGGCCCGGTCCCTCGTGACCTTCATGAAGACGAGTCATTCAAGGAAGTATGTAGGTATGTAAATCATACTTGGTATGTTCTTATGCTGTAGGTTGCCTGTTGTAGATGAATAACAAGAAATAGCTGACCGTCTACACCGTAGAGTGGGTGGTTAAGAAATTAAGGGCTGTGAAGAGACATAATGAAAGAACATACCTTAAAATGTTCGCCAAACTTGAGCTCGTGTAGTTTTTCGTAATCAGTTCCGCTGTCGATAATGATGACATCACATTCGCTGCGTGAATGCTTTGACATCTCAAAGGCTATCGTACCGCCAATCGAAGCTCCGATCAGTGCAACGCGTGCCGAACCGACGTCGTCATCGCCAGCACCGCCGCCGTCGTTGCTGCTGTCCAGCCACCTTTGAATCTACAACGAGTTCATTTACCTCCCTCGTCCACAAGCGGTGTTTTTCCACATTTGGTTTATATAGCCTTTAAAAAGAATAAAAGAGGAGCTCTGTTCATCGCTTGATCGTCCGCAAGATTTCGAATTCGGTATTATGTCAAAGTGAAATAAATATTGACTGAAAAAGTATTGAAAGAAATCGGGTGAAACAGACAAAATACGGGCTTAAAGAAATATTTGTCTAAAAAACGATTATCCAAAGTATAAAAGATAAAGCTCTCGATGTTGATCAATCCCTGAGGGATGCGCCATGCATTCGACCTCTTCAACCATCGTTGAAGGTGATTGAATGCATAACTGTCCTTACTCGCGGTTGCTTACCGATTTATCGAACCAGTGCTACTTACTATCCTCTCAAAAAAGTCTGGTACCAGTTTGCCGAACCCTGAAGGATGGAAGACTTTGTGAGCCAGGCGCGCTGGGATCGATTCCACATGTGTGTTGCAGGGCACCTCCGACCACTGCGCCACACACGCCCCTATCCAAAGTATAACCGTCTGAACTCGTGTTGAAGCGAAACCATTTTTATCTCGCTTTTCTTCTCTTCCTCTTTCTTATTGAATTTTCATTTATCTCTAATCTTTTAGGTGGACTATAACTAGAAACTGCTGCTTTTGGTACCACAATTGCTGCAACCAACTTACTTTGAAGGATTAAGTTGGTAAGTATGAAAATCCAGCACATTTTGTAGAACCTTTTTGCCGACTTTTTCTGTGATCGCATTACTATTGATTTTATCGATTTGGGACTTTTCGCAGTATTTACTCCTTATCCCAGATTGGGTGAGCGGGACCAGCTACGGTTTCATTCATTGCGAGAAAGGTCAGCAGTACTGGTGTTAATAATGTTACCAATCCGCCATTCAGCACGCCGAATTTCGAGCTCATCAACCAACTACACTTTTTTCTGTCTTGCTACTGACTTTCTGCTTGATAACACTGAGTGATTCTTTATATCATAACAACGTTCGTTATGCAATGAAGTAACTAATCGATTGGTTAGAAAGTACAAGTAATCACCTCGGCATAGTAACTGTCAGCGAGCAATTGTATGTTTTCATGAAATCGCGGTTCATCGGTTTCGAAGCGAAATGTGTTCGGATGTTCCACCATGAGAACATCGACGCTTCCCAATCGTCTGAAGTGATGAATTAAGTTGGCATACGCAGTACAACCTCCATAGAGCGTATGGACGAATATCAGCAGGTACTGAGGCCTAGCAGTAGAATGATGGACAACTGTCACGATTCGTGTTAGGACGCTCGTTGATAGAAACAATGCCATCATATCGTTGAACACTAGGACTTTTAACAAATCTCTGACTTCAAAATTCGTGCGAAACTCTTTGTTTAATTCATAGCGTAGTTTCGTAAGCGACATCGAATTACCACCACAAAAGTAGAAATGATCATTATTACAAAAATTCTGGTGCTTAAGTACTTTTGACCAAACCCTACGAAGCCGATGAGTGAGTGATTCATTCCCGTTTACATGATTTTGATTGTCGCCAGTGTCAAGCTCAGCTTTTTGAATATCTTTCAAAGGAATCTTCATTAACTTCGAAACATTCAGGTGCCCTCCAAACATGGAGAAATAAAGTCTTTTTAAAGCGATTGCATCTCTCGTTGAGCCACCAACCTCCAAAAGAGTTAAACTCGAACACGGTTTTTTTCCGAGAACATGCTCTAGAAGTTGAAGGAATGACTTCATCCTGAGAAAATCTTTCCAGTTTTCAGAAAGAACTGCCAAGTCGATTTTTGAGTTTTTCGTTAACGGAAACCTGTCTAAAAAAATAACATGGGTAGGGCACATATGTTTGGGAAGGCTTTTACGACATCGTTCATAAACTAACTCTTCATTTAAATTGTCTTTTGGCTGTCTAGTACAGAATGCCAGCAGCTTTTCGTCAGTGGCTCTCCAAACCACTTTACACTGACCAACGCCACCTAGGCTGGTGATAGTGGTCTCGATCTCGGAGAGTTCAACGCGATGACCGTGGATTTTCACTTGGCTATCTGCCCGATCGACGAAAAGCACGTCTCCATTAGGAAGAAGTTGGACACGGTCACCAGTAGAGTACCACTCATCCTTACCAAGAAGGTAATGCGAGTGTTTCTTTAAATATCCGCGCATGACTCCTCTACCTTTGATTAATAGTTGTCCTTTTTCAGTCACTGAAATCGTTGTGTTTTGAATCGGACGACCGATGTTTTCGGCGTAATCCCTGTTCTTCATATGCTTTGTCAAGGCATAAGCAGTAGTCTCTGTGGGTCCGTAGTTTTGAATGACGTTTATCCCTTCATCGATGGCTCTGTTAAGTAAATTCTGTGGCAATTTCTCGGCACCAACAATCCAATACCGAAGAGTGGATAATTTCTTGAAATTAGCATCTCTAAATGTCGAAACGACTCCAGGAAAAAGAAGGCAGTGAGTAATACCATGATTAGTAAGAAGATTTGTAAACGTTCTTGGAAGAAATTCACCTTGAGCAATGACCAATCGTGCACCGTTCGTCAGGGTCATGAAGATCTCCAACACACTATTGTCGTAGACGAACATCGTGAACTGGTAAATTACGTCTTCGGTTCGTATCCGAAAGCCAACAGTGGACGAAGCCATCGTATTGATCAGTGAACTACGGTTAATGCAAACTGCTTTAGGAATACCAGTAGTTCCAGAGGTGTAAATAACATAAGCGAGATCTTCAACAGAATCGGATTTGATTCGTTGACAGTTTTTTTTGCACATAGGTTTAATCATAATGTTGGGCAGATCGATTTCAGCAATCTTCGGACCAACGTAGCAGTTAGCATGTGAATCATCTAAAAGCGTACAGAGGCGTTTTAAAGGCCAACTGGAGTCCATAGGAAGATAAGCTGAGCCGGACGCCATAACAGATAAACATGTGATGATTGTGGACGCCGATCGTTGGCCCAGTACTGGTATAATGGTATCAGCCCGAAGAGTTTCACCAGTGATTTGACAGTAGTGGTCTCTTACCGTGGCCGCTTTCCTAGCTATCATATCAGCCAATTCCTCGTAGGTTACTTGGGAGACGTCGGGTTCGAATAATGCCTGCTTTGTTCCATACGCCATCATCTCATGAAACATTGTATTTAGACCTCGGCATGGGGTATCGGTAGCGCAGAAATTTTTAAAGGTCGACCTTTCTTTCCTTAATGGAACAAAAGGATATCCACTAGCAACTCCAATTTTATGAGGACCACCAGAAGCCTGTACGTTTTCATTTGGTGTTTCGGGTGGCTGTGTAGGAATGACTGATCGCAAATAGTCAGAAAATTTCAAAAATGATTTCATTTGATAAACGGTAGAAATGTTGACTTCTACTCCTACGGTTTCTTCAATCTGTTCAATGAACGCGATAGCTTGCAACGAATTTCCACCGATTGAGAAGAAATTCTCATTATAGTCAATCGTTTCCAAAAGAAGAACCTTCTTTGCTATTTGTAATACTAGCTCGAGTGGATAAGTGACACTAATTTGGTTTTTTATAGGCACTGACTGGTGAGAGGTCCCTGTTAGAAGTGCCGATTGAATCGCCTTCATAAGCGATTCTCCAACGCCTTTGGGCAAACAGTCCTGTACTCTGAGCGTAACATAATGACCTGTAGAGTTTTTATCTAAGTCGATTTCGAAAGGAAATTCCGATCTGACCGGCAGAAGAGATTTTACAGCTATGTCATCATCTTTATGAGTTTCCATATCGTATCGACAATTAAAGTATACCTGAAATAACGGCCGGAGATGTGGTACTCGTTGGCGCACAGTGTCGACTAGCTGAGGGTACGGTATATTTCTTGAGATCACTTCTGCAACGTGTTGTTGTAGCGTCTCAGGCGATTTCAATTCTACTTCTTGTCTTATGTGAAATACCAGATTGTTCAGAAAGTAGCCAAAAACATTCTTTAACCCTGGCGAGCGACCAGAACTCGCTGACCCAATGTTGATACTTCTAAGTCCGTACTCATTCATGATGGTTTTGGAAAGAATTTTTAACATTACGACAAAGAAAGAGACCCTGCAACGCTTCATCCACTGATGTGCCACCGACTCCGAAAAGTCAAAACTCAGCACTTCGACACCTCCGTGATACGACATTTCTGGAATGTAGTCCGATTCCGTTAACGCGTCAATGTAGAGACTGTTGATCACAGGTGTTGGTTGCGCTTCCAAGCAGTATTTCTTGTAGGAAAGCGTTTGTCTAAGGAATTCAGGGTTTTCAGAAGCGTTCAGTTTTTCAAGAATTTCTCCCAGCTCTTGTTCAAGCATTCTAGTCGACCAAGCATCAGAGATAATGTGATGCAATCGTAACATCGCTACAAAATAATCTGGAGTTTCGAATAAAACGGCTCTTAGTGGAACTCCTTCTGATAGGTCAACTGAAGATTTTATAAATACCGTCAGTGACCTCTTAAGATTAGCTGTTTTTTCAACATTAAGACCAATATAGCCCTCGGTCATAGAAAGCACCAGTTGTCTTGGTTCACCTTGAAATTCGAAAAATATGGTTCTCAGTGATTCATGCCGTTGGATTTCGTACAGTAATGCTTTCTGAATATGTGATGCTGGAATGGTCTTTGAAAACTTCTTTAGGAATGGAAGAACATAGAATGATGACTTTTCATGCGAGAGGTAATACATTTGTAATTGTTGAGTACTCAATGGAAACTCGAAGGTGTTTTTAGGCTGGCAAAATATTCGCTTCGGTCGAAGTGGTTCCGGAAGTTGCTTCAGCTTTTCACGAATAACTTCGTTCTTATTGGTGTCGCAACTGTAGAACAACTCCACACTTTTGGAATTGGATACTTTAACGTGTAGATCAGACAGTGCTAGAGATTCAAGGTGGTGTTGAATGTCAATTGTATCGTAGATGACGCCATCTACACGAAGTAGCTGTCTGGCTTTTGAATGAAAGATCTGTTTCGGAATAGCAAACCAATCAGAAACCACACTGTTAAAGATATCCATGAGACTTTCAATAAAGCTTTTTTTATAAAGTTCTTTGTTATATTCTACCCGTATGCAGTCACTGTTGGAATCTACAAAGATTGAAAGCTCAAATTTTGTAGTCGCAACTACAACATGATCGACCCGGAATATTTCATTCTCCTCCACTGAGTAGTCGTCAAATGTTAGCATCGCACTGAAGAGCTTCTTGGATGGAGACAATTCCATTAACTGGTCATAAGGCAAAAAAGCGTGGGACATTGCTTGTGCGACTTCCATCGATATACCTCCAACTACCTTCTCCGGACTCTCTGTTGTGTCGTGAGCTATCATTACGGTGCTTATGCCGTATGCAACTGAATTCTGTAACTTATGGGTCCGAAGGTTAACAGGGAACCCTATGGCAACGGGCATTGATGGATCATAACTGATCGATTGAAGAGTGCGTGACAAAAGTGCCAGGACAGCAACAAATGGTGTACAGCAATAAGTGTGTGCCCACGAATCGATCCTTTTACGCAGTTGAGACACATGGAAATTTAACGAGGCCGCTTGTTTGCCTCTTATGACCAGACGAGGATGACTAGTTGGAAGTTGATTGTAGACAAAGTTTTTAAGCCGGGTGCCCCAGTATTGGCGATGATCAGCTCCAAGCTCTTGAAATTGATTATGGATCCATGAATGAAATAGGTGACTGTCATCCATCGCGATTTGCTCCCCACTTAGTAACCTTAGAAGATTTCTCACAACTAAATGCATTGAGTGACCGTCAGTGATTATATGATTTACCACTAGGTGAAGGTTCTTGCCGTCAGCGCAGATAACAAAAGGAGGTTTTTGTAGCAGATCAAGTCCCAAGGTTGCCTTGCTGTCCAGCTTTTGATAGCATTCAGTTCCTGATAGTACCTCCTTGAAGCATTTTTTGTGAATCCTGACAAATCGAGTCCTCAATGATGGATGGATCATCGTAAGATTATTGACAATTTTCCTTAGTTTCTTCGCGCTGATCAACTTTTTTAACATTATGTTAAACGAAATTTCGTAAAGCGCTTGCACCTGCGGGTTTCTAAAGCTGCGAAGCAACGTCAGCTGTAAAGGGGTAGGTTTGTCGTTCTCTTTAGAACATAATTCCTTGCTGATAGCTGGAATGATTTGCGGATTTTGACAGTTTTTTATCCATCGAGCTAAATCTGCCACCACTGGAAACTCGAACACTTTCACTATTGGAACGGAAACACCGAAAGTATTTTGAATTGCATCCACTAGACGAACTGCAAGGAGCGAATGTCCGCCAACTTGGAAAAAATTTGAGCAAACATTGACGTCAGGTTGTTTGAGAACCTCCCGATAGCTGTTTAGAACACCCTCCTCAAAGTAGTCCTTTGGTATTTGAACTGATGTTGAATTGTCCTTGATATCACTTCTACTTGACAAGTTTTTTTTGTCGATTTTCCCATTTGTGGTCAACGGAAATTTGACGAGATGAATAATCTTAGATGGTACCATGTAATTTTGAAGTCTTTCCCGAAGAAACGTCAAAAGATTGTTCGCCGTTCCTGTGTGGAACAGAACAATGTGGTTCATGTTCGCTTTGTCCTTCTGGAGAACAGCGGCAGCATTCTGCACACCGTCCACTTTTCGAGCGACATTCTCTATTTCAGATAGTTGGATTCGTTGACCTTTGATTTTAACCTGATCGTCTTCGCGTCCAAGAAATTGGAGATATTGATTTTCATCACACGATATTCTGTCCCCTGATAAGTAGATTTTCGTGTTTCTTAGCAATATTTTGTCTTCAATGGTCCTATACGGATTTTCAACAAATCCTTTTTGTGCTGAACCAATATATCCTCGCGCTAAATTCTCACCACTGCAATAAAACTGTCCAATTGATTTTCGTTGTGCCATATGATTTTGAAAAGAGCATAGCCCATAGAACAAACCTGAGATGACGGGACCTAAACAGGTAGGTGTTATGGTTTTTCTCATTTCTAGCAATGTCACATAACATGTGGTCTCTGTTGGTCCATACAGTTGGACAATGCGATAACCTCGTTCGATCATGGAGTTCATCGTCGACTCTGACATGGTTTCCCCTCCAAAACTCCAACGTTCCACATCGTGAAGTTGGTCGAAGTCGTCATTGTCCAACATATCCAGGATAATAGGAGTCATATGCAATGTGGTAATCGGCTGCCGAGCGCACAAGTCGCTGATGATTTCCTCCTTTCCACTTGTTACACTTAAAACACCACCATTTAACAAACACCCGAACGTATTACTTATACTGGCATCAAAAGAGCTTTTTGTCAATTGCAAGACTTTGGCCATTGGGCGAAAATTGTAGTGCCTTGTGGCATGCGCTAACATATTCAGGGTACTCTGGTGACTTACACATACTCCCTTGGGACTCCCTGTAGTACCAGACGTGTAGATTACGTATGCCAGAGAATTTGAACACGATCGAAATAGAAACCGTGGACTCCTATCAGGTTCAAGCAGCTCTAGCAACAAAGTAGGTAATGGGAGAGTTTGGAAATGTAGGTCGGTGACGATAAGCTTAGGTTGGCAGTCCATTATTACGTGACGTATTCGTTCGATTGGCGTATCTGGTGACATACTTAGATATGCACAACCTAGGAGATGCACTGCTTCAATAGCAATATGGTTTTCTATTGACTCGTTAAGAATCAGACAAATAAAGTCGTCTACTGCAGGTGTAACACCGTGATGCCTAAGAATAGCATTTTCCATTCTATGCGCAAACTTTTCTGACATTCTCAAGGCGTCTGAATAGGTGGTCGTTTGGTAATTCGATTCAAGGCAAACTCCATAGGGCAACATTCCTGCCTGCTCTCTAAAAATCCTTCCCAGGCACCTGTTTCGTGGTATGTCATAAAATAAAGCGTTTTTCTCCGGTTGTCGTATAAATCCTAGAGTGGAGTTTCTCAAGGTGTTCAATAAAGTCTTTTTAAATCCAGTTAGTAGTTCTTTCACAGAGTCTAATGAGTATCGACCTGTGTTGTATTGTATCAACAAAGATAATTTTTTTCCAGGATGGAAAATCCAGCTCTGGTCGAACTGAACAAATTCGGATTTCACCTCGGTGACCTTAGTTCGTAAACCATTCATCGACGGAAAATTCGAGAGGGAAGCACTTTCAAAAGTGACGACGTGCTCGAAAAGAGGATTGATTGTTGTTGAATCTCGATCATTGACAACGTCTTCGACGATCCTGGCTAGGGAAGTAGATTGATGTTCCATGGCAGATAGGATCTGATCAATTGTGTATCGTAACTGTCTCTCAAGATCAGGAAATTCTTTCCTAAATCTCAATGGTACAGTATTTGCGAAAAGGCCTACCCGATTCAGATTCACCGGAGATCGATTGGCGACAGTAGTTCCAACTACAACATCGTTCAGGTCGTATGTCATTCTTAGTGCATTGACAAACGACAACATTACTATATGATAAAGCGTACAACAGTAGTTAGCGCAAAACTCCTCTAACTTAAGACTATCGATAAAATCGAGTTCTTCAATAAGATAACCCGATTTTCCATCAGTGTCATCGTTTTCGGCTTTTCTTTGAACTGAAATGGGTTCGTAGCCCTCTAAATATTGCCTCCAAAACGCCAATGAATCATCGAGTTCATCATTTTCAGGCAAGTTGTCATCGGGAATGATTTCAACACTATTGTAAGCACCTGCTAGCTGTTCAGCAATAATCGCCAGACTTCTGCCATCGCTAATAATATGATGGATTCTGAGATCTAGTCGAGAACAATCTCCCTCAAACAATTGTCCGATCACCAAAGAAGAGTCAGTTACTTGAACGTCTTCTAATTCATTTGGTTCAAGCGCATAAAAACATTCCGTACCTGACAATGTAAGAAAGGTTGGCTCATGGTTGATAAGAGAGATTATCGATCTTAACAGTGAATTGTTCATGATAACCAGATTGAATGACTCCAGTAGTCTTTTCTTTATCAACACACCGATGAAGTCGATGTGAAGACGAATCACATAGGAATCCCGATTCGGATGCTTTTTAACAAGAAACCATAGTCGTCTTTGTTGAGCTGAAAGCGAAATATTGCATGAAAGAGTTTTATCGTCTCGAGATTTCCTTAACGGCATCGAGTTTTCGTTTAGGAACGCCGCGATTTTCTCCGCAGTTTGCAACGAGAAAAAGGACTTTAGATCGATGTGTAGGCCTTGCGCAGCAAGATCCTGTAAGACCAGCATCGCCTAAAGAATGAGTTTTGAAAGAACAGTCTTATGCAAAGATAGCTGAAATATCGTTGTGATCAAACCACCTTAATGGAATCTCCACCTCTAGCAAAAAAGCTCTCGTTCGCCATGTGATCTCTTCCGGTATATTTCCGGAATGAAGTGATCACTGTCGTTTCCAGTTTATTTCTCGGATGTCTCAAATTTGATGGCGTTGAATGTTGTCGAGGTTTTGGAAATTGGCTTATGTCAACTTTGCCATTTTGATTCACTGGGAACTCCTTCAGACTAATGAAATATTTCGGAATGCAATAGCCTGGGAGGCGACTGCTCAGAAATGACCGAATTGCGTCAGTCGACTCTTTCGACGCCTTAAGTATCACGTACGCAACGAGCTCCTTCACACCATCATTGTCATCTACTCCGACAATGTTCGCTTCGACATCATCGTGTTGACCAATATGATATTGAATCTAAAATGGAGTTGTATGAGTGCTTGAAGGCGATGTGATTGTCGAAAAAACTCGCCTCGAGCAGTTCAATCCTTCTTCCCCTTATTTTCACTTGCAAATCGTCGCGTCCAACAAACTGAAGACGTCCATTTTCTGACTTTACCATATCACCACTCCGAAATTCTTTGCCAAGTAAACCTTGCTGTATGACGGAAGCTGTTAACATAGGATCACTGTAGTATCCTCTGGCTAGTCCGCAACCTCCAAGGTAATGAATTCCTTGGTATTTAAGCGGCAGCAGTTGCTCGTTTGGATCTCTCACCACTGTGTACAGGTTACAGTGGGGCTTTCCAATTTCTGAAATGGCACTGCGTACGTTTATCCGATTGCAGTTTGTGTAAACTGTTTGTTCTGTAACTCCGTATTCTTGATAAATACTGATATCGGTCTCTAAGAGTCGTCTGAGGGCGAGAGCTTGAATAGTTTCCCCACCAAATTGAATTGATTCAAGAAGGTTTAAAGAGTTAATATCTGTAATCGATAACGATGAAAGGTAGATAGGCATTATATAGGCGTTAGTGACATCATTCATTTCTTCAAGGTTCGGTATTAGTTCAGCAGCCAACGTCATAGTGGCACCGTTTACTAGAGTTTTTGAGAGATCCGCAAAGAAGATATCGAAGCCATAGTTCACCACCTGATAAATGTGCGATTGTTCACGAATTAAAAACATTCGCGTATAGGCCGCAGCCAAATTACTGTGACCATAAAACTCTGTACAAACTGCTTTCGGTTTGCCTGTAGTACCAGAGGTACAGGTGATGTATGCCAAGTCGAACAGGTCTGCCGTATTCCACCATTTTGACATCGACGACCGGACGCTCCTCGGAATGATCAATGGGAAGATCCGATATCCTGCTGTGTTTTTCAGTCCTTCAAAATCATTTTCGATTACTATAGGATTTTCAAACATCTTCAACGTTTCTATTGTTCGTTCCGGTGGCCAATCTAAACTTATAGGAACCGCCGTGAGACCGATTTTCCATATAGCGACGATTGTCACCGGAAGTTCTAGACTTCGTTTCATAAATACGGCAGCACATCTATCTCTTGATGGCAATTCACCGTAGTGATTACAGTATACTCTACAAATGTCTGCTGCCATGTGGGAGCTTTTTTCGTCCAGTTCCCTGTAGTTAATTCGTTGCTTCTTGAAAATGACTGAACTCTTAGAATAGAGACTTTTCTGAAAAATCTGGAGTACTGTTTTCTTAGGAAAGTCACCACGATTTAAAGTGCTTGTTTCAATAAATGATTTTTGTTCACTTTTGGTAGTAATTGTGATATCTTTCAGAAATCGAACGCACGAATTCTTGCCGAAATCATCAAGAATATACAGAAATCGATCGAGAAGATCTGAAATCGTTTCCGCTCGGAACAGTTCGCAGTTGTACTCTACTCGAATATCGAAAGAAGTACCGTTATCCTGAAAGTACCATGTCTGCTCGTACTTAGCCAGGCGATTCGATAGATCGAGTACGACGATGCCCTGATTTGGAGGCGGCGCTTTAATGTTGTCCATGACGAGTAGAACTTGAAAAATCGGCAACATATCGTCACTCCTATCGATTTTCAGATGACTTACGAGTACATCTAGTGGAACATCAATCCTTCTGGCCTCAGAAATAGCTGCTGATATATCGAGTATATATTTACTCACCGTTATCGAAGGATTTACTACTTCTAAGAGTGGTGTGGTGTTCACAAAACAACCAACTGTTGACCAAAACTCTTTCCTACGTGATGTCGACGAAAATCCTATTGGAAAATCGACGATACCAGTGGTTTTATAGATGAGAAACTTGTAAATCGCTACGAAAACGCAAAAATTAGTACAGTTAGCGAGTTTTCGAATTTTTTTCATCGATTCTTGTAGTTTGTTAGTGAGACGTTTTTGAAGAACAGCACCATTACATGATTTAGCGCTGGTTCGTGGTTTGTCGGTAGGAAGAAGCTGAAATTCTCGTCCCTGCAATTTTCTACTCCATTCCGCTAGTTCATTACTATAAGGAAGATCGGACGTGAGGATGCAGTAATCCACATATTGCCTGGGATTTATGGTTTGCGGCTCTGCTCCTGTGTAAAATGCCTCTATTTCCTGTGTAATGATACTAATTGAATGGCCATCAACAGCAATGTGGTGTACGACAAGGCAGATCGCTATTCGATCGGCTGATTTACTAACACAAAACTGAAGGCAGCATTTACTTATGTCAACTGGGAACGATACGAACTCTTCTAGAGCTACGTCGCATTTCAGAATAGCCAGAAACGATTCGGTACCAGAATGAATGCGTTGACTCTCAATAGTGTAACTCGTCCGGAGAATGGTATGCCTCATTATCACTGAATTCATTGCCATTAACAACCTTCGCTCATCAAAGTTCTCATAACTTATCGAAAAAGCCAAATTCTCATTGAATTGAGCATTTCTTGCTGGATTAAGTTCATTCATAAAAAGTAAGCGTTTTTGTTGTGATGAAAGTGGTATATGATGAGAATAAACGGTAGTATCTTTATTTATGTCGAATATATCAGCACGTGACAAGAGATAAGCGTCCATTTCGGCTACGGTGGGACAACGATGAACGATTCCTGTCGGAATACGGTAATTCGGATAGTCGGCTTGTAGCGCCATCTCGAGTTCAGCCGTTTTTAACGAGTCCAATCCGATAGAGGTGAACGTTTCATGGCGATTTTCTTCAGTACAATCAATACCTATTTTCAACATGCACTTTAAAGTTGGACTCTCAGATTCCACTGCAATTGCTTTCTCAGTTTTTTCTGCAGTGCTCTTTGATAAATCATCTTGTAAACGAATATTGGTCCATTTTCCAGAAAGAACATCGAAATGATTGTAGATCTCGATTGTGACACCGTCGACGTTCTGCTGAACAAGTAGTTTTATCGATCCGAAACATATCACGGGATAGTCGATCTGTTCTATCGAGCTTATTGGCATGCTTAGATCCATGAATACTTGTAGTAGTTCAACAATAGCCATTGTAAGGTTCAATTCAGTTACGATGGTGTCTTCGTTGGCGGTGATCTGCACCAAGTGTGTTGTTTCGTCAATCGCGAACATGGCGACGCTGTCCTCAGACATTTTCAGAATTCCAGAAATCTTCGCGACGACGAGATGGTTGATTCGGTCATTGTCGCAAAAATTAACGTTAAATCGTTTAGTTGTTGCCCGATAGCATTGCACAGCAGTTGCCGAAAAGGTGGCGTTGTCCATGTGCCTCACGAGTGTTTGACTCCTGAAACGATTCAAATCACCAGCAGCTTTTCCAATTATTATTATTATTATTGCTATTGTTACTATTATTACTATTATCATTATTAATAAGAGAGCGCGTGGCGCAGTGGTCGGAGATGCCCCGTAACACATACGTGGAATCGATCACCGCTCCCATGGCCCAGCAACCCTTCCATCTTTCCGGGGTTAGCAAATTGGTACAAAACGTGTCTAGGCGGATACCAGCACTGGCTCGATACATCGGATACAACCGAATGGAATTCCATATATAAAATAGAAGGTCGTAAAGTGGCTAACAATAATTGGGGTACAAAGGTAAATATTATGTTATTCCAACACTAATTTCCCTACTTCATAATAGTAATACAAACAAACTTTTCACATACCTATTGAGTTCGTCCGATTCTTTTACTGAAATTGCAATTTGAATCGTTCCATCGACGATCTCAACGTTTTGCAGCTCGATAAACAAGGAAAATTTCAGGAATAGATCTCGAGTAGTCTCTAGGAATTCTTGTAGAACGTGGTCGAAGAAGGCCCTATTGCGTGGATGCATGTGATCTGTTTCTGTAATGTATGTAAAGTAGTATTACAATGGTATTACATTGTCAATTATACTCGGTATTCACAAGAGTTGTGGGAGTAGTGACGGAGCGAGTGGCGCAGTGATACGACTCAATACAAGCACAACGCTGGTTTGAACCCACCCCGGGTACATTCAGCTTCACATTCCTACGGATCCGGAAATTGATACTGGACGTGTATCAGTCAAACTCGCTCCTCAAATCCATGCAGGAACTTTTTAGATTGGTTAGCTCTCAATTCCATCGCGAATCGATTCGTGGTGAGAGGAAATTCCTCAAACAATAAGCAAACCTACACATAAAATTAGGAAGATCTCCTCAGATGACGGATGAGAGGAAAAGAATCGTATGCAAGAAATGCTGAGATGCACACGCAAAATAAATGTGATCAACTACTTTCCAAAGGTGAGCAGCGCCTTTTTGTTCCAATTTTGCAGATTGTCTACCACAATAACAATTGAACGGGTTTGGGGTGTTTCATTGTGTATCGCCAACTGCAATGTAGGGAAGTGGGGAGTTTAGTGAAAATGAGTTTGACGTTTTCATCCAAAGGCCCAGTTAAGAATAAACCTAGTCTGCAACAGAAATCTCTATCCGACAACTGTAAGGATGTTCATCTTGCAAAAGTTTTGTGTACTTTCAAGCTATTAATTAAACGAGCGGAACTCAGTGGAGAGTTCTGTTAGAAAGAGGGAATATATTCCTAGGCAGGCTACGAATGACTTTTTTAAACAAACAATGGCAATAGGTAAAAGTTGTTCATAAATAAAGCTTTCGATTTGGGAAGTTCAAATGTTAAAAAACTGATGGGCGTTCGCGAAAACCCGGACCGATCAGAAGCATGCCACAACCCATCAAGAAATCAGAATAAGGAGTTGCAATGAGTAGTCTAAACATCTGCTGTTGGAGAGTTCAGCAAGCTGCCCATGAGTATATTCGACTTTCCACTTATGACAGAACGGAAAGAGCTACGAGGTCTTACTTTTTATTATGGATAGCAAAAAATGTCCTTATAGGGGAAGTGTGATGTTTTTCGTGCCCTTCGAGCGAACCGAACTCATCGACGCAGAGAATGAAAGAGTGACAGAGAGGAATGGAATTAGTGATGTCTGCTCGAAAAATTCGAAGGTCACCATGGTTAATACTCGTACAGGTGATCCTGAGTAAAAATTATCACCATCCAAAGTAGGCGAATTGGTGCCAGTCTTGGCCGAGAAGTAGCAAGGAGCCTGGGAAACGTCGGAGACACTCTGCGTGCTATCTTAGTGCTTCCTGAAAATCGAATCGATCGGGGACAACAAAATTCATAGAATTAGAAATCCTCAAGAAAGAACTGTATCCTCTCACAAATGCAAAGACCTTCGTGCATGATGGGTGTGAGGAAAAGAGATCAAATGAAAAAAGTGCTGATATCCGCATTGCCCCTGATTTCGGGTAAGGTTAAATGAAATAAGAAAAAAACAAATTCTCCCGATATTCTAGCTGGAATCGCTGTGAGAAACCGACTCGAAGCAACAACAGAATTTTTCTAACAAACTCGTGTAGGCTTTACTGTTCAAAATATATTGAAGCCTAAAATCTATCTTAACTCTTTTACTTACTGCCTTTTTTTTTTTAATGGCAGGATATGTTGTGAAATATAACTCGTATGAAGTGCTGAGATATTTGCAAAACTCCGGACCACAGGTGTATGCAGTGGGGAACGAACACGCGCTGTTGTCCTTACCGGGGAGCAGCGCACTTCACCACTACACCATCCGGGTCCTAAAATCTATGCTCCTATTACTCTGATAGAAATGTGTTGCTAAATAAGAAAATAGGACATGTCGGAATATTCCGCTAAATGTTGACTTTCTTATTTAGTGCCGTTTACTCGTTTTCACGGCAGGGTATTATTTGTGAAACAAAACAAAATTGTATCACAAATTCTGCTAAATACTTGCTAACTGCACGCTTTTCCTTAGATTGTTAATTTTATTAGAAATTGAGTGGCAGACGGAACGAAGAACTTTCATGGTGTGATGGTGAACCCGTTGGCCACCGGAAAGGGTAATAGCGTGTTCGGTCCTCACCGCAGACACCAACGATGCGAAGTTTTGAAAATATCTTAGCAATATTAGTGTCAATTTTATTGTCTCAACTTTTGATGTTATAATAGTGATATATGACCGAACAATAATTGCTTAGTATATGGCCTTAAGTGACGGACTGGTGAGAAAATCGCTACGGAATAACATAAATATTAGTGGTGTGATTATTTGGAGTAATTAAACTTGCACAAAAGTATGATCTCAACAGAAGACCGGAGTGGAGCTGGACTGTTCAGTCATATTGCTGAGATGGCGCTCAGAGTAATGTTTGCTAATTAGATTTGTCATCGATGCAGATGTCATGTTAGAAAATTTCTTCTGTTCAAGCTTTATATAAATTCTTAAAACGAAATAAAAACAGTCACGTTGAAGCAGAGAATCTGAGATTAGAACCAAAGACGATCTTATATCATCTAGGTGCAGGTAACTCAAGAAGACCTTTAGGCTTCGTGTCCTCATTGAGCCAAATGGCACGGTATCTTTTTTAAAAACTAAAATTTAATGAACCACTATGATGCCTGCAAAAATTGTTGATACATAAAGTTGCTTATCAATGCTGAGACCTTCTGGAGTTCTGAAGAAGGCAGAATTTGTCGAGAGGTTGGCATTCGCTACGAATTTAAAATTAAATTGTGGACAAACTCAGTGGCTCCTCAAAACTGCAAAAGTAGCATTTGTGCAGTAGACTCACAATAATAAAATCCTGACTTTGAGAATGACACATTTTGCTTTGTGATCAATTTCCTTCATTTCCTTCACAAAGTTTCTTTTTTTTTTCTCCAGAAACCTGAAAACACATATATGAGATTGCTTGGACACTTGGATGGTGTTGCGTCATACATAACGGTCCGAGGCTCAGCACAACTTCCATTTTAACTAACAGTTTGCCGCTTTGGGAAACGTTGCTTTCTCTGGGGCGTAATGAGATCCGCGTTAGAGCGCCGTCACACCATAACTGGCGGCAGTTTCTGTGGAGAGGATAGAGATTTGTCGTTTTTTCACTACTCTCGGAATTTGTGTTCAAATGCTAACCATCGATTCAATAAAAGGACTGAACCATTTGATCAGAGGAGCTCCCAAGAGCACAGTGGCTGAGCGATTTTTCTCGTCTTGCACAAGAGATTTAAACGTTTGGTCACCATGAGAGTCGCACTGTTACATTTATTAAACTCATTAAACGCCAAGAGCGAAAAATTTGGCGTAGTCTCATGCACTCTCTACAGGAGCTAAGTGATAGTTGCCAAAGGATTAGTGCTCACTTTGAACGTTTCAGCAAACCCTCTGCCGCTGGTAAAGCCATTGGCACCCTCTGTCTTCCATGTCGCCTCTTTGTATGCGGTGAATTCAGTGCATAGCATGCGATGGAAATCTAGTTGTAGTTCCACGTGGCTACTCACAAAATAAAGAGTTGTCGTGAAAAGATTGAAATTATCATAGTGTAGTGGCAAAGACATGGCAAAGGTAACAACATTAGCATAAAATTGAAAAATCAGTAAACATCAGTATTTACTGGATTACAAGCAAAGATGATTGATGCCCATTGAATTTCTCCGTTGCGCTAATTTCTTGTGAGGATTATGTTCTGCTGTTCTACGGTTCTCATACTTTCAATGGAGTCGAGTTTCACCAGTAAGTCTTCAAAGATCCGTCTATCGAGAGGTCCGCTACGACCGNCGGTTCTCATACTTTCAATGGAGTCGAGTTTCACCAGTAAGTCTTCAAAGATCCGTCTATCGAGAGGTCCGCTACGACCGTGATAACGAAAACGACGATCATTTTGTTGTTTAACATAAATTGTTTAAAGTGCTCCCAACATTTTTTGTGGTTGCATTTCATATCTCCTCAGAACAAGCGCCAATGCCATTTTCAACTACATTTGAGCAACATGCATTCCGACACAACTACGTAACCCATAGCCGAATGGTACATAAATCCATTTGAAGTGGGGACGAGTCTTACCATATGTCACATATCATATACACTGCTACGAATCTAATTATCAAAATTAATCAACAAAAAAATCTAATAAAACTTAAAGATGGTCTAGTTTAAATTACATAGGTTCACCTTTATCACATGTCGATATGTTGATGTCGTCCAGCTGAACGTCGATTGATTTGAGCGGGCGCCAGCAACTCTTCCATTTTTCCATGTCGCGAGCAATGGTAGGTTAATGGGTTCTGCTCGCTCTAGGGACTAGTTGAGCATCGTACCTTTCTTCTAGGCTTTCCCTGAAAAACTCAAATCATCGGGTTGATGGTCTTCCTGCAGTATGTTTGACATCTTGAGGAACCCAGTCATTAAC